GACTTGATGTTGAATGTATGATGTAGACTGTTGACTATATTCGTAGTCCATGTGTCAAGTATTTGGCAAATTATGATTTGTTATTTTGTTATAAGTTTATGAATCCTAGCGGTTAACATTGTTGAAACTTGTCATCCATACACTACTGTGCATGCATGTGGTTGCCATGAAAGCTGATTGCGTTCAAGATGATAACTTTTAACCTTTTCTTTCTTTTCCTTTGAATCTGGTCAGTGATTGGTTCAATGGAGCAGCCTCTATCTGGTTTATCACTTGAAGGCAAAATTAGGGTTGATGGAGAAAGTGTCAAACGTTTGAGTAGAGATGAAAATGGTTCTATTGTAGCACCTGGTGCTGGTTCTGGTGGAACAGTCCTTTTGTTCCTGCGTTATCTTATTTTAGGGGAGTCGTCTCTTCTCTCAAGTGGTGGTGGGTCAGGCAGTCCTTCTGGTAGTGGTGGCGGCGGAGGTGGGAGGATTCATTTTCATTGGTCAAACATTCCTACTGGGGACATATACCAGCCTATTGCTAGTGTAAAAGGAATAATCCATGCACGGTCTGTCCTCTATATACTTGTGCATTTTCTATGTTATTATTTGATATCGTTTTTAGCCTGTGCATTAATTGTTTTTTTGTAATTGTAGGGGGGGAGCGGCAGTAGATGATGGTTTTTCTGGGCAAAATGGCACAGTAACTGGGACACCTTGTCCAAAAGGACTACACGGTATATTTTGCAAGGTAAGGAAAACCTGGTCCAACATTTTCCTGCTCTGTAATATCACAGGGGTGAAGTTTTTTAATTGCCTTTATCAAGATTGAATTGTTCTTGTAGTTTTTGAAGCTCATTGTATTCACAATTCTATTTTTTTCTCTCCAGGAATGTCCATCTGGTACATTCAAGAATGTTACTGGATCTGAGACGTCTCTTTGCCGTCCTTGTCCCGTTAATGAGCTTCCAACTCGTGCTGTTTACGTCCCAGTTCGAGGTATATATAGCATTCACATATATCTTGACCTCTTGTGTATTACATATGTGCTATAAATTTTCTCCTAACTGTCGGTGATAAGTCTTGTTTTCCGTTCAACTACCAAGCCTAAATTGTTTTCTATTCATTTTTATAAAATAATGAATACACTGTCTGTAGATTTTTAACCTTGTGTTCTAAAAAGAACTGTTTAATTAAAAGTTGGCTATCACCTCGTCTTCTTTCTCATTCCGTACTTGTAAACTGATGCTGGAAATGTTTATGTCTCAACTATAAACCTTGGGATTTTCTTTGTAACAGGTGGTGTTTCTAAGACACCATGTCCATACCGATGCATATCGGAAAGGTATCACATGCCACACTGTTACACTGCTCTGGAAGAGTTAATTTACACATTTGGAGGGCCTTGGTTGTTTGGTCTTCTTCTGATGGGTCTCCTCATCCTCTTAGCACTTGTGCTTAGTGTTGCCCGAATGAAATTTGTTGGAGTTGATGATTTACCTGGCCCAGCTCCCACGCAGCATGGCTCTCAAATAGACCATTCCTTCCCTTTCCTTGAATCATTAAATGAGGTAAGATGATCTTCTTAGTCTTGAAACATTAGACCCGAAAAACTCTTTGTTTTATTAGTTTCTGCGTTCATCTATATAAGCAAATGAAGAATGATTGATGTATTCGCTGATTGGTCACTCCAGATGCAAGTAATGTATGGCCAGCTGACATGATTGACTGAAATAACCCACTAAACATTCCTTATTTTACGGTGTTGTGTTGTTTATATGTTACTTTTTTTTGTCAGGTGTTGGAAACAAATAGAGCAGAGCAATCTCAGAGTCATGTGCATAGAATGTATTTTATGGGTCCTAATACGTTCAGTGAGCCATGGCATCTCTCGCACATCCCCCCAGAGGAAATAAAAGAGATAGTGTTAGTTGTTTCTTATTTTACTTCCAAGCTGATTTGGGATTGTGTCTCATTGTTTTCTCTATTGTTACTTAATAAGCTGCCTTGGCTCTGAAATATTCTTCTATTGGTTTTGGGTTCTTTAGATATGAGGCTGCATTTAACACATTTGTCGACGAAATCAACTCTATAGCTGCATATCAATGGTGGGAAGGTGCAATATATAGTATCCTTTCAGTGGTTGCATATCCGCTTGCATGGTCATGGCAGCAATGGCGGCGGAAGTTGAAATTGCAAAAGTTGCGTGAGTTTGTACGCTCAGAATATGATCATTCCTGTTTACGCTCCTGTCGCTCCCGGGCTTTATACGAGGGTCTGAAGGTAATTTCTTGATGATTTATTTGATCTCATAATTGGTTTAGGGACTGCAGATTTTGAGTAGATATTTTCTTCTTCTAAATATAGGTTGCTGCCACCTCCGATTTGATGCTTGCATATCTGGATTTCTTCCTTGGCGGGGATGAAAAAAGGACAGACCTTCCACCTCGGCTTCACCAAAGGTTTCCAATGCCTATATTGTTTGGTGGCGATGGCAGTTATATGGCTCCTTTCTCACTTCAAAATGACAACATTCTTACCAGTCTGATGAGTCAGGTTGGTTCCTTAGTTAACGAGAAGCAGTTTCAGCAGCCATGTTAAAGGTTATATTGATCTTTGTCATTGTTTAATTTTCCCAGCTTGTTCCGCCCACTACTTGGTACAGACTGGTGGCTGGTGTAAATGCTCAATTACGCCTTGTTCGCCGTGGGCGACTGAGATCAACATTTCATTCTGTTCTGAAATGGTTAGAAACTCATGCTAATCCCGCTCTGGAAACACATAGCTTACGTGTTGATCTGGCCTGGTTCCAGACTACAGCTTGTGGTTACTGCCAATATGGTCTCTTGATTCATGCTGCTGAGGATTGTGAACCAACATCACCTCAGTGTGCCAGTGAAACAGCATGGGCTGAGATCCAGCCACGGTAAATGAATGTGAAAATTGCATCCATTCTATCTTTCTATCGTGCATAGGGTCCATTCATCATACCATTTTCTCTTCTAGTGCGTTGTTTTGTTAGAAGTTCAATATAAAATATGAACTGAGCCATGTAGATATATAAGATGATCACTTTAGAAAGTTTTGTGATGTCACACTTTTAACACGTTTTCATTGTCCACTTCATATCTACTAGTTATGCGGAGTTTTGATGTCTTGTTCTTGTAACTTATAGTTACGGCGTGAATGCACATAAAGAAAATACTCCGGCACATTTAAGAGAGTGTATGCTCTTCAACCAAACTCACACAAGCACCGAGGATTATACGACACGCAGAAAGAACTATGGAGGGATAATCAACCTTGACAGCTTACCGAGTCTGAAAGAGAAGAGAGATTTGTTTTTCCTTCTCTCTTTCTTAGTTCACAACACTAAACCTGTGGGCCATCAGGTACCTTTCCAATCAAAATCCTTTTTAGTATGAATGTCTTCTTATATGTTTTGCCGTCTAACATTTCAAGAATTTTAATCTCTTCCCTCTGTTATCTTTTGTGATATTGCAGGATATGGTTGGCTTAGTTATCTCAATGTTACTTCTAGGAGATTTTAGTCTAGTCTTGCTCACACTGCTCCAGCTGTATTCGATATCTTTGCTGGATGTACTTTTGGCTTTGTTTATATTACCTCTCGGCTTGCTTCTGCCATTCCCTGCTGGGATCAATGCCTTATTCAGTCATGGACCCAGGCGCTCTGCTGGCTTAGCACGTGTCTATGCTTTGTGGAACTTCATGTCCTTGGTCAATGTGGTGAGTTCTCTTTGTTTTTTTCCTTTCAATTGCTGATAACTTGGTTTGTTGAGAACTGCAATGTGAACATGAACGTCAAATGAAGATGAATTCAACAGTTATATCTGTGAACAAATTATGGGTGTTGATTCTTTAGAAAATGTCACGTTATCTGACAAGTTTTGGTTCTGTGGACAGTTTGTTGCTTTTCTCTGTGGATATGTTCATTATCACAGCGAATCATCAGCTAGCAAGAAAATCCCATTTCAGCCGTGGAATATAAACATGTGAGTTTTACTACTATGCAAAGTAATTACTTGAAAAGAGTGCGACTCTTTTCGACAATCTTTACGTTTTGATCTAACGAGATTGTGATGTGTGTTTTGGGGGATGCAGGGGTGAAAGTGAATGGTGGATATTCCCAGCGGGACTGGTCGTGTGTAAGATAATGCAATCACAGCTCATAAATCGACATGTAGCAAACCTGGAGATACAAGACCGCTCATTGTATAGTAAGGATTTTGAGCTGTTTTGGCAGTCGTGACAGAGTCCTCTTGTCTAGTAGTTTTTTTCACAGAACAATTAAAAAACTGACCTGCCCCTGTTTGGAGTGGGGTTTTCA